ACATGCTCTGTTTGTTTGGCAGCATGGCCGCGAAGGTCTTCCACAGTGCCGGCACTGTCTCCGACAGTGTGATTCGTGGCATAACTTACGAATACACATCTCCACCAAATCTTGCAGAACTTTGGTACCAGACGGCTTCAACGCCCTACCCCCAAAACACAATCTCAATCCGACACCGCTGTACCACAGGCTTGACTGCCAGCCCTACCTTGTAGGAAGCTGGGAGAAGCTTGCCTCCTGGCTGAAAAAGGAACTTCCTCAGGTAGTCCACCACTGCCCGTACTGTCACCAGTGGCTGACCCAAGCGCGTGGCCTTCGAGCTCATATCAAAGCCAAGCACTCCCCATTGACCACCTGCTGTGAAGAGGCAGTCCGGCGCATGCAATCTCACCGCAGGCTTTTGGCCCTTGGTAGCACCTGTCGCTACTGCAGCCTTGCACTAACGGGAGCGCCTATCAAGCATGCCACTGAGTGTGCAGTCCTGTTTCTGGTTCATTTGCTGCAGGCAACACATGCGCTACATCATACGACTCACTTGTCTCAGGTCCGCGATGACTCTCCCCTCGATGTTCAATGCGCACCAAGTGAGCCCGGAAGACCTGGAAGAGGCCACTCAGGAGCTCAAAAGCATCGAAGCGCAGGTTCGGCTGATACCCACGCAGCCCCAGCCCCTGATGGCCCCGACGACATTGATGAGCGAGCCCCCGCCACAGGGAGGCATGCCGGATTCCTCGAATCCCCCACAGTCGGAAGTCCCCGACAGGCCTTCCAAATGGCAGAGGGACAACAGCAAAGGGCTCGTCCCGCCCAGGAGCCCAGGGCCAACAGAACCCTGCCAACCGCCCTCCACCTCAAGGCGGTCCGCCAAGACGTCAGGGAGGTCGCCCCTCCGGGTACCACCCCAGCCCCCATGGCAGCGCCAAGGGCAGGGCTACGGGCCTACTTCCGGCCCCGACCTCACTCTCATGTGCCACACCATGGCCAGACTCCTCATGAGACACGAGTCAGTCCTACAGCAATCCACCACATGGATCCTCTTCCTCACGACTCAACCCCCGGGCACGGTCCTCCCCAAGCTGTTCGCCACAGCCCAAGGATGGCACGAATTGCGGTGGAACGACCCGGAGTCCATCACCCATCCGATGCGCATCATTCTATGGCAGAAACTGATGCTCGAGCTGTCCCAGCGTGCCCAGAAGGTAATCGACCAGGAGGATGCCCGAGAACAGGCGATCCAAATGGAGCTATACAACCCGAACACGGGGTTTGGCTATCGCAAGTGGAACAACAAGGAGGGCGTGATGCAGCCCATTCCCGATCGAGAACCGCTCACGGCACAGAAAGTGGTGGAGATTGCAAAGGAGCTGGCGACGCTGAGTGTACAACCGCAAGTGCTCAACAGGTTCCATGCCACCCGCCAACTGGAGGAGAAAATGGAAGGCAGCACGGTGACCTGGCTATTGGAAGTGGGTTGGAGGGGAGAGCATACGGCTCGCTTCTGGGAGTTGCTCCAGCTCCTTTCACACAACTCCTCTCTTCTGATGATCGGCTGCACCCTCCGCCCAGATCGCCTCCAGAGATCAGCCTTGGCCCAACAGCTGCAGACTCTCCTTCAGTCTATGCATATCCCTATGCCGAGACAGCCGCCGAGACCTCAGCACTGCTCCTGACATTGCAACTCCGCAATCCTTCCAACTACTGTTACTCCCACGCCTGCCTCATCACTTATCTTTGGATTGTGTCCCAAACCCCCTCCTCCTTTCAGGTACTGGACCGGGAACCGTTGAGGAGCTTCCTTGCCCAGGCGCGCAAACAACCGCAAGTGACACTCTGGTCTCTCCTACCGTGGAGGCAGGCAATGCGACGCTGGCCCCACCCAGCCAGGCAACATGATGCCGCGGACTTCCTTCTCCACTTACATCAAGTCCTCAATGCGCCCTGCTTTCAGGGCCTCTGGCAGTCCTTTGACGACAGCCACACGCTTCTAGATGAAGGCGGGGTTTGCCCACTCATACTTTCCGGAATGCAAGATGCCTCAGACTCTGTTGCCACCACCGCCCAGTCCTGCATCAATCGTTGGCATTCGCAGAAACGTCGCCACGCCCTGATTGCAGGTACTGAAGCAGTGGCTGTACAGTTAAACCGCTTTCGCAATGAACAGGGCATTGCATCCAAACGTGACCATCGCATAGATGCTGATCCGGAAGTCCTTTTCCCACAATGGACTCCCTCATCCCCAGAAGGCATCATATGGAGAACCTATCAGCTTCAAGCGATCGTCCAGCATATTGGACCAACCATGGTCAGTGGGCACTACCGTGCTGCACTCAAACCTCGTTCCGGAGCAGCGGGCCTTTGGCATTACACCGATGACAATAGTCCTGCGCAATCGGTCCTCCCAGAAGCCTTATCCACCTCCAGCTACATTCTTGTGTACCGAATGAGGAGTGCTGCAACTTCCGCATAGGCCCTTCGGGGCAACAACATAGTTAGTTCCGAGGCGATCCAAGCGTGATCGCGCGCCACTGTGCGCCAGGTGATTCCTGCTCCAATCAGCGCATTGCGACTTCACCGTCCGCAGCGAGTGTGATGATGATACTGCTACTGCTACTGCTACTGCTGCTGCTACTGCTACTACTGCTACTACTACGACTACTACTACTACTACTACTACTACTACTACTACTACTACTACTACTACTGCTACTGCTACTGCTACTACTGCTACTACTGCTGCTACTACTACTACTACCACTACCACTACCACTACCACTACCACTACCACTACCACGACCACGACCACTACCACTACTACTACTACTACTACTACTACTACTACTACTACTACTACTACTACTACTACTACTACTACTACTACTACTACTACTACTACTACTACCGCAACAACTCCTCGTCACTTCCACTTCTACTTCTGCTCTGGGCTGTGTTTTGTCGATTCTCTAAGGTTTTTTGGGTACTGTCGGAAAGGCTTTTTCTTTGCCCTGGGTAGGCCCGGCGCTCAACAGCTTCTCGAGCATGCATGGACAGAGTCCGAAGCAAGCCCTCCGCCCTGTCCATTGTCATATATTTATGTGTATAGGTAAATCGTGGGCAGGACTCCTAGAAGGATGACTGCTTGGAAGACTTAATTAATGCAACGCCTCAGAAGCCAAGGGATTGTCGCTGTCAATTGCATGAGACTATTCATCCAGTGTCAGACCTCGCGAGCGGACATTGTATTCCAGCCATGCGAGAGGGAAAAAATATAATCATGTATCATCTCCACCAACGCGGACAGGGTCTAAAAAAGCTTCTCTCCCGCGCACGCCGTCCCCTCAGCGGACAGGGCTTTCAGTGGCCCCTTTGCAGCGCAGATCGAGATTCCTGGGGCCCGAGATGCTGAGATAAAAGAAATCATAACCCAAACGAGTTTTGAAAGGTCGCCTCGTGTACCCCTTTCCATCTAGAGGTCTTAAAATGGGGGACTGAAAATGGCCCCTGGGCAAGAGGAACCAATGAAGTCTCGAGGAGGGCAGAAAACACCTTGACAGGCCACACAAGGCTTCTTTTGTCTAGTCCTTTTGGAAAAATTTGCTCCTTCTCAAAATGTATTGTCGCTTTCGAGCGGCTTGCTCCTTGTTGCCTCTCCACGCTCACGTTTTGTCCTTTCTGGGTTTCCCCCCCCTCCCCTAACTCTCCTTTTCTTTCCCTTCCCTTCCTTGCCCTTCCCGTCCTTTCCGCTGCCCTTCGCTCCTTTCTCTCGCTTCCTGCACCCTGCCCTTTTCCTCCTTTCTTCTCCGCTTCCCTGCCCTCTTCCTTCTTTTCCTCTGTCTCTCGGTCTCTCCTTCTGTCGGTTTGTCGCTCTGTTTCTCTTTCTCTTTTTTCTCTCACCTCTGCTTTCCCTCATCCCGCTTGGTTTCCCTCCGTCTCTCGCTTCTTTTCTCTCTCTCTCACTCTCACTCTCTCTCTCTCTCTCTCTGTCTCTCCCTCCCTCTGTCACCCTCTCTTTCTTTTCTGGCTCTTTATTCTTTTGTGCCTTCAGCTTTACGCCATTTTAGACCCCCCGAACCCAGGGCGCGGAAAAAACCTGCACGGCCGATCAGGTTGTTTCTTGCCTCCTTAAAGATACGTTTGTTCCTCGACCTTAAACCCTTAAACCAACGGCGTGAAAAAGCCCTGTATGGCCGGTTAGGTTGTTTTTTGCATCCTTAAAAATTCTTTCCTTCCTTCTGACCTAGAACCCAAATCCTTAGAATCTGAGCAGGGTGCGATAAAAGACCCCAAGCGAGAAAGTCATGAGGAGTTTTTTCGGGGTGTGGAAAAAACCTTGCCCATCCCCTGCTCCTGCTGCTGCTACTATTCTTACGAGTACGACTACAACTGCGACATCTACTGCTGCTACTACCACTACTACTGCTGCTGTTACTGCTGCTGCTCTCTCGCTCTTTCTCTCGATCGCGACGGAGTCCGCCCGGCATCCGGCAGACTGCTACTACAACTGCTATTACTACGCCTACGACTACGACTACTACTACTACTACTACGACTACTACTACTACTACTACTACTACTACTACTTCTACTACTACTACTACTACTACTACTACTACTACTACTACTACTACTACTGCTTCTGCTTCTGCTTCTGCTTCTGCTGCTGCTTCTGCTGCTGCTACTGCTGCTGCTGCTACTGCTGCTTCTAATGCTACTGCTGCTGCGGCTACTGCTACTGCTACTGCTACTACTGCTTCTGCTATTATTACTACTACGACTACTACTACTACTACTACTACTACTACTACTACTACTACTACTACTACTACTACTACTACGACTACGACTACTACTACTACTACTACTACGACCTCTATACCATGTCTACTACTTTTGCTCACCTTTCCCACTGTGGGTCCTCCAGTTCTGTAAGCTTAACTTGCTTTCCAAAGTCCGCTGGCGGCCCGCTACTTACTACGGCTGCATCCATCAGTTGCGTTGATCAGGAGATGTGACGTGCTCAATCGGGGCTACAGTCCCTTGGCTGCTATCACCTGCCGAGCTGATGTCGTGGATGTCGAGCAGAATTTCAGTTCAGAGTTGCCCAAACTTCAGCACATTGTCCAACAAGACAGGCCTTTTTTTCTCTGCGTGATGTGCAGACGAAAGCGAGCTCCTTGCGAGGTGGTTACACCACACGCAGCGGTCTAGCCATGCTCCAAGCGGGAGCAGGTCGGGTCCGAGCAGTCGTGTTTTGCACAGTGTCTCAAGCCTGCGCAGTCGTAGCTGGCTCAGCATTAGGAGTAGCCGGGCGCACAACTTCTGGGAAGCGAAATCCCGAACAACGACGCGTGCAAAAGTAACACATCATTAGTTATGGGCTGGTTTAGTGACGCTTTAGTGCAGTGGACAAAAAGAGGCGTTCCAGAGGATCCGCCCTCATCCGACAGCCACACCCGCCTCGTCACAGCATCTCGTCTTCCGATTCTGGCAGAGTCACCGCTTCTGTTCGGTTCCAGCAGCAGTCGCTGTCAGGGTAACCTAACTGTAGCATGGCCGCTTGCACAAGGCCGAGCATCAGTTTGCGCAAACATGCACGAGAGACACCTTGTCGTCTTTCGATAGGGTTTGCCAGTCGCGAGGAAATGGTTACATAGCCAGCGGAGCAAGTACGAGCGATTGGGACAGGTTTAGAAGGCTACATAACGACGACTTATGCCTATACGCCTTATGATAGCCGCTGCGCACAATGGAACAGCCTTCAGAACTCACCAAAGCAATGCATATGCGAGCACTAGGCTTCGAGTTTGTCCTGGTGCATGCATCCGCGTTCATTGCTGACACAGCCTCAAGAGTGCCCCAAGTGTAAACAGAGACGTGCTGCTGCTGCTGCTGCTGCAGCAAGAACTACTTACGCAACAAAGTCGGTACTTCTCAGCTCTGAGCTGCACCTACACTGGCCATGATTCATCTCGAGACTAATCCAGCTCCCATTCAAGGATTTGGAAAGGCAGTAGTCAACACGTGCCTGGTAAAGGATGTTCTACTTTTGAGCCCTTTTCAGCGACCCTGCCGTTGAAACGTGGTGCACCGCAAGCATCCCTAAGCACTCTTAGGCAGCAACGTAACAGAGGGTGTTAGCTCACATCTACGGCATGTGTAGCCAGTACCTCCAGTCGTAAACGAAGCAGATACTCGGGGAATCAACGACCAAAGCAAAGTCGGCTTTGGAGTCCCGTGAAGATCCTAGCTACCCTCATGCAGCATCAGGGAGGCTGCCCTAAGCCCGATTATTGAGCATTGCTTGAGCCTGAGGTATTCTTCGGCGCGAATGATGCCTCGCTGCTAGAGGAGAACCCAAAGCAGCATGCCCGCTGCAGCACATAGTTGCGAGTGGGCATCGAGCCAAAGTGGGGTACTTCGTTTAGGTTTAGGAATAAAGAGCTGCTCCAGCATTTGCCGCTAGTTCCGGGAATCCGGTACGTGTTTTAGGTGGTCGCGGACAGAGTGCCGGTTTTAGCCAGGTCTCAGCAGTGCGTAAACAATACTTGAATTCTCGGGACGAACACAGGAAGCAAAGACGACTTACACAGCATAGCACCTTCCGACATCATGTCAGTTGAAGACATGTTTCGGGCGTCCCTGGCCTGCTCGAATCAGGTCCCATTGGACGAGTACCGACAGAATCTGCAGAAGATTGTTGAAATTCTCAGGCCACCTGCTTTCAGAACGCTTGGCACACAAGTTGGCGCTAGTTCGACCCCTCCACATCCAACCCCAGACTTAAACGACACATGCTCCCATCTAGGTGCCAACTGGAACATAACGCCCCTTGAGGCAGCGTGTGCCATCTGCGCAAATTCTTGTCGTCACTCCGCCGCCGGTTCTTGGGCTGCTCTTAGAATTGGTTCTTGGGCTGCTCCAGTGAGCCGAACTGTGCACGTGATAGCCTGGTTTTCCATCAATGAAGGTTTGCCAAACCAAGATTCTGGCTTTGCAGAAGGACATCTGTTCAAAGCAGTCGAGCCATTGCTTGCGGGCTGACCAGTTGCCCTTGAGGCCATGTGTGGCCATGGATAAACAGGGGGCGTCGCAGGGTAATTGCTTGTTATCCGCTCACTGAAATGATTCAGAACATGATCTTGCAGCTAGGTTCACTGGAAGGTCGAAAGTTAAAGTCCGCAGTGCGCATGGCCAAGCTATCATAGGACAGGAGTAGTTGCTATTTAATATAGAAACGCTATAGTTGACTGCCTGCAGCCAGGCAACTTTGACTAAAGGCCTGAGAAGCCAAAACCATTTTTGACTTATGCTTTAGATTGGATGGGTTCCATGCTTCTTTTGGTGCATTGGGGGTGAAACTCGGGCGCATATTGAAGAGGGTGATTTAAGCTTGGAGGACGGAAGCAAGGCCCCGCGCATGAGACCGAGAGTGACATAACCAATTAGTAGTAGAGCAGATGCTGCAGCCTGTCATACGGACACATAGTACATGTGAGCAGCGAAATCTCTTGCACGCAATGCACGTGCAACAGTCTCACGTTAAAACACGCACACTTTCGGTAGGACGCACTGAAATAATGCATGTGAGGGTCAGCGGAATTCACCAGGACAGTCCCCTGAATTTGCTACAATACCGCTGGCGGGGTAATCAGACATACTTGAGTGGCCGGCCATTTCATGAGAGCCCTCGTCATGCATCAGCAGATGCGGCAGCGAGAGCATGCATCTTTTAGACAAGTTGGAGTGCACGGGGGGCGCACGCTTTGAGGTGACCGTAGCAGGCAAGTCAGCATGCTCGCATGCAGCCGAAGCCATCATGTAATAAGCTGAGTCGGGACTGGCGCCCACATCCCTTACTTGCCAAGACACCCAGCCAGCTACACCAAGCGCAGTGTTGCACACGCATCTTCGACCACAATTACCGCTTCTCGCCCTCTTTAACTTATGCTTGTGTGTGCCCAGAAGGTTGCAAGCAAGCACCTGCCCACCCAACCAGCAAGCAAACTGTGCCTGGGTTTGCTCGCACATCCGCGTCACATGTCTTACTCAGCTGTTTGAGCTTGCCCGGTTGATCGTCTTTCCTCTTTACACCGTTTCGGTGACCAGTGAATTGGCTTGTGGTTACTGGTCGTTCTGCGTATAGATGAACATTGTATAGACCAGAGCTCGTCATCATATCTAAGCCGCGCGCAGAGCTAGCAGATGCTAACAGCTAGCATAGGTGAACTGGTGGGGATCCAAGCAGCAGAAGGCCACCGAAGCATTGTTCAATAGTGAGCTGCCCGGGTCCAATGCTGCCTAAGATGCCGACAAGCCACAACAGGAACTCGCATGAAGGGCACTAAAAAAACGCAGACCGTGCCCGTCTTGATTCCAGGAGCGCTTCAAAGACAAAGCTACCGGTCGGCCAGAGCGGACGAATGCTGCATGGTTGATCTGTCATCGTTAAGGATGGTGAGAATCGAACGCTACCCATGAGTGCCCAAGTCACAAGTACGTCGCCGTGCCCGAGGAGATGGCTGGGAAGTATGCTGCCGCTGCCGAGGAGACGGCGAAGGACGTGTTGCTGTCGAGGTGTTTGTGTACAGCGGAATCCTCGAAATCTTCATTGCATGTGAGCCATGAAGCTCCCACATACAAAAATGAGGTAGACTGGCGATGCATGGAATGCTAAAGCCGACCGGTCCAGCTTCAGTTTCACAGTCCCGCAGCCTGCTTCCGTTCTTGAAAAGAGGAGTTGGGCTTGCCATCCTTGAACCTCTGGCGACTGATGCAGGACCCTTGGCTGCAGAGCCTCTGTCAAAGACTGACAGTAGGCTCTTGGGGCATTAGGGGATCGGCGAGGCCGCTTTGCCGTTTACCCTGGTCGCATTTCCTAGGATGTGAACGAGTGGAAAGACTTTCTTTCCGACGGACTGCATCTCTCGCCACAAGGCACCGCACAACTTAAATCAGCTGCGAGGGCGTAAATGATTTCAGAGCTAATTGTACATACTGTAGCTGCAGCATGTGGCAGCCGTTATTAAACAACCTTCACATCAATTGGCCATGCACCAAGAACCACGCCTGACTTGTCCGACAGTGATCGCGGAAAAAACAGGTTGTGCGGATCGAATCTCTTAGCTACGACGCAGCTGGAAATTGGCAGAACCGGCGCACCATGCAGAACGCAGAAAATCTACCCGGAAACTACCTCGCTCCAGAGTGATCGAAGCATGTGAGGCACACGGGTGTTCAACATTTGCACCGTGCCAGAGGAAGTTCCGAATGCACAGCCACATAAGGATGCAACAGCAGCGCAGCCAAAAAAAATCGCCCCTGTGGCGGCTGCTGCTACACTATAACTGCCGCTGCTGCAGCTGCTGCAACAACAGCGCCAACTACTACTACTACTACTACTACTACTACTACTACTACTACTACTACTACTACTCCTGCTGCTACCACTGCTACTACCACTATTGCTACTACTAGTACTACCACCACTGCCACCACTACCATCACAACAACAACCCCAACACCAACAACATCAACAGGAGCTGCAATGGCAACTGTACCTGCAACTGCCGCAGCAACAGCTGCTGCTGCTGCTGCTGCTGCTGCAAGAACCGGCCCCTACCTGTACAGTACTGACACTACTGTGGCCTGCTTCTGTCTTTGCTACTGCTGATACTTCTACGGCCACTGCTACTGCTGCTTCTCCTGCCACTTCTAATGAGACGAAAAAGTGAGGGGAGAAGCTAAATTTTAAATGCGCCACCAGTCGCTTTGCGATTTCTAAACCCAAGACTAGACCCTACTTGCATTGACTATCCTGGTTGCTACTCGGAGCTGAGCCTTGCCGTGTGGGCGATAGTTCCAAGCCGTGCTGTCGTGTTACCTGCCAAGTCAGTCGAGACTTGCCCTGCGGGAGCCAAACAGAATTCCACACCCTTAACCAAAGCAAGAGGGACTCACATCAAGGCGCGTCTGCCGCGTGCGAGCGTGCGTGTCAAAATCCTGAAGCCGCAATCCCTGAACTTTGAAAACCCGACTTGAAACCCTCGGTGCTCCTCCTTCTGAAGGGTGCGTGTCAATGGGGATTCCCGTGTTTTCGCATGGTGTGGTCTATGAAATGCCTGCAGTTTGCCGGTATGTGGGCCTGATTTCTTGAGGCTTCCCCTGAAAAGGCTTGGCTGGAGCAAGGTGGTTGCTTCAAACAGGTAGCACCGGCAGCCCGAAATGTAGCAAACTCTCGCATCTAGCTATGGTCGGGAGGGGATTGTTTCACCAGTACGAAGGTTGCCTAATCAAGCTAAGAAGCAGCTAGTGCTTAACAAGTGGACGGCAATACTAAAAATAATGATTCAGTACTAATCGATTCAGGGATCTCTTTCCTCTCTCCCTCCCTCTCCTTCTCCTGATCCCTCCCTCTTCCTCTCCTTCTTCTCTCCATCGCTCTCCCTCTCCGAGCAATTGCAGGGCAGGCCAGGGCAGGGCAGGGCGGGAGCACGCAGGTGGTGAGTCACCTGTCAATGCTCCTGCTCTCATATATGAGTTCCTCAAAGCCCAGGCTGCGGGAGCCCGTATCGCCTCCCTGACCTGCCCTGCCCTTGCCCGCCCTGCACTGTATCGATCTAGTAGTATCGTGTACAAGACAAGCACACCGCACACCGAACTCCAGTTTTGTTCGGGATGCCAGGCACGAACTCGCCCAAGACCGGCCACACAGAGATCACCAAGTGGCCCACAGGTGATACCACTTGCATCCACTTGTCAAGCCATTCAGCATTCAGCACTTATGCCGATGCTTCAAGACAATGCAGTCACCTCTTTCAGGCGCTGAAAGGGTCACAGGTAGCCGAATGCTGTGTATCCCGGGCACGCAACTCTGCAAACACAAGCCTTTGCGAAAAAATGGCTTCCTTCACTCACAGTGAGGTGCTAGATCTAGATTGTAGGTCGTGCACGCCACTAATTTCGCATGGTGCTCTAGCGGGACTAGCTTCCATGTGTTTTCTCTGAAACAACATCCACGCACCACCCGCGCTCGCGAGGGTTGGGAAAGTTGCGAAGTATTCCTGCCTCTGTGGAAGACTGAACTAAGCTGGAAACAGGACTCATTCCGTCTCATGGGGACCCGTCCATACTGTGTATGGGTGCCGGGTGCTTGCAGGCAATCAGTTCGTGGCAAGCGCGGTGCGAGACAAGATCGCAGAAGTTTTCCCAGATCTGGTTGTTGTCCCGTGCCAGTTCACGGGACAATTTGGTGCTTTGGCTGAATATACAGAATCGCGACGCTTCCTGCATCCTCAGCAAGGAGTTAGACACATGCTGCCTTCTTACCAGTCAGGCCTACAGTCAGAACGCCACAGTCACCCCAGTCATCGCTGATGCTTTCGCATGTCGCGATACTTAGACATTAGGGTTTGGCCAGAGGAGAGGAAGGTACACAAGAGCAAAACTCCCTGCAGTGATCGCGGATATCACGTAAATATGCAGGTGAATGCATACACGCATACATACATTGACGTTTGTTGTTTATGCACAATGCATGTTTCATATACATGTGTATGTAGGAAAGATGTAAGTATCATATATACATGTGTGTAGACGTGGCTCTGCATTGTCTTTCCACTTCGTGATTATGTTATGCATGTACCTCAGGCAGTGCAACAGAGCTTCTGCACAAGTCAGACTCCGGTAGCACATGAACCAGCCCTGCACGTGAGGTCACAAAGGTGTACGGTGTGCCAGTGCATATTGTCCACCGGGCACAAACAAACTTCATGACAACCAGCACACCGATTTCAAGTTGCAGTGCCATTTGTCTCACGCCTGGCTCCACATATCGCAAGATGCACCTGACATGCGAGTTTCAGATATATTCTTTATGGTGTGTCTAGCTGCGAATCAGTTGTTTCATTGCACGGCGCCGCACTGTTGCAAAATGCTAGTTTCAAAGTGTTGAAGGGTGTGAGTGGCAGAGAGGTGATTATCATCTACATTGCATCCTGAGTTGTAAGCTTGCAGAGAAGGGGGCTTGTTCGCGGTGAAACAAACCGCTGTTCTGGCGGTATTGCTGCCAGCTTCCATGACAGCAGTTGCCATGAACCGTGAATGTGTTTTGTGAAGAGATTCCTCAATTTAGCCTTTCAGGTAACTCCGGTTCCAGATGCGACGGTGTGTCAACGGATTGCCCATGGTGGGACACTGTGCCTGGACGAAAGACCGCAGTCAGCAAGCGGAAATCCGTTGTCTGCGGGATCTCAGCCTGGAGTCGGTTTCGGATGGACCTAGATTTCTGATTCGTCGTGGCACAGCTGCTCCGCGGATTATAGTCCATCGTGAATCGCAGGTGTTCCGCTGGACGGTTGTTATGGAAATGAGCAGTCTTCGCTTCTTCGCTGCTTGAAGTGCCGCAGCAAGCGTAGCATCTCAGCCGAGCCGCCAAGCGTGGACAGATAACACAGCACCGGCCGAGTTGCGAAGTCAAGTGCCGACGGCGTCTACACTTCTACGCTGAGGTAGGTTGTCAAAACCAGAGAACTTGCTGACTTTGTTGAGAATGGTGTTTGACTCTCGGGGAAGCTTTTGGGCAGCCAGCGTACCTTGTCTGGAATATCTTCTGCATGAAACGGGAAAGTTCTAGCCAGTTCCTCGCTATATCTTGGGAATGCGCGGAGTTTCGCTGGTCGCAGGATCGGAAGATGATTTTTGGGGGGTCCTCCGGCTGCGAATTGGCAAAGTAACCACAAAGTAACAGGGCTAAACGGGAGGCAACAAAAAGCGCTAGAGCGAATGATATGGTGGTCGTGCTCGTCTGTATGTTCGATCAAGACTTCACACTCCCTCTGAACAATGGCATCGTTCGGGCCTCTCAATCCATGATCTTGAATTTCTTCCAATCCTTCAGGCTTCAGCCCGAGGAGAACTGAGTCACAACAACTACTGTAAGCAAAGCGGTCGTGCTTAGCCGTGCGGAGACGGGGATCGGCAAGTTCCCCTCGTGGATGGTGCTGCCCAAACCAGGTATCCCTTTATCACTTGAGGTGTGCAGCCTTGCAGTAGCAACGATTCATGGCCCTTCTCTTCAGGGCTTTACCGTGTCGCCACCTCGTGCTTAGCAATAGTCCGGGTCGCTGAGGTATCCTTGAGTCATGACACCACGGGACTCTGCAAGGTCGACCCCGACTGTCCGGCCAAGTCATTCGAAGCCTTGAAGGGCCAGGGCCAGGGAGACTGAGCTCGTCGCTTCGGTTTTACCAGCGGGTTTCTGGTAGACCCCGAAGTGAGGTCTCACCATCCTGCAGCTTCCAAATGCTTCCAACAGGAGCAAAGGTGGAAAAAGGAAAAGCCCTTCTGTGCAGAATGCCCTTTGCAAGTCGGGTGCCGAACTGTTTTACAGACTCAGACTCTCTAGTGTAGACGGAGATATTGCCGTACTAAGGCTGAGGCAGATACTCAAACCGACAGCAGAATTCGGGGCTCAGGCAAAATGGGGCTCCTCGCTGGCTGGCTTGTTGGCCGGCTCGCTGCTTTTGTGGCGTCCCTGATCTCGGCCAGGTTCCACCTCAGCTTGGTTAATTAAACAATGTCCAAAGTTTCGTGCGCAGAGACAAGGGTCCAAGTTCAAAGTTCATCATTCCGTAGGAGCTCAACCTGGAAGATTAGTCATCTTGGTGACCTTTGACTTCTCTGCCGTACAGCCAGGTTGGGTACGCCGCTTCCAGGAATGTTTTCGGACAGAGATGACGTCCAGGCGCGTCTCCTGCAATATGTTGCGCTGCTGCTTACAGTATGTGCAGTTTGGGAGGAGGATAGGGAAAATAGTTTTGAGGCTGTTATGTTCTCCCAGAGCTTCATGGTCAGCCCACTCGCGCTCGCATTGAGCCCCCAGAACGACCCGTGCATCGATCGTCTGAAGTATGAGTCACCAGTCCGAGTTGCGAGAGCGTAATCTGAACAGACGGCCGGCCTCAGTTGAATAGACGAGACCGTTGATGACAACCGCACCGCTCAGTGCAATTCGAGAGATGAGAGAGAGTGTTGCTTGTTGCGTTTGTTGCTGGGTGTCAGTGCTCAGTGGCCAGCAGACCCGGTGTGTCTGCATCCGCATGCCGGGCGAGGGAGAGAGAGCCCCCGTAGCCATTTTGGCTCAAGTCGACCTGCCGTTTCTTTCGGGGGGCACTCGAGGGCGGCCCTGTGGGCTTGCTGTTTGACACAGCAAGCCTGTTGGATGGACGTGGAGGGAGGCTTGTGTCGCATGCCTAGGCCGTTGGTTGCTATTACGCGCAGCACCGCTGGACTATCTCAACGGCTAGACTGCAGTCTTCCTCGCGGGGGTTCAGCTGTGCATCCTCCTTCAGGACTTTGGAAACATCGAGCCGAACCTAGTCGGTGACACTCAACTGGGAGTACCCCGCCGCCCAGATCAAGGACTTTGAGTACTGCGACCGAGGACTTTGCCAAGGTCACGGTCGTTGCTAGTGCTTTGCCATCGCCCAGAGCAGTAGGGCCTGAGGGCTCCAAAGTGCCATCTGCACGGGGCGGCCCTCAACATTTACCTGCGAGAGAAACTGATACAGAATGCCATCCGCGAGCAGGGAGCATGCCACCTGGAGGCAAGTCCGCTGACCCAATATTGAAAGCAAAGGACCGTGAACGTCAGACCCAGCCGGGGAGTTCCCCGAAAGCACTTAAAGCATGCAAGCGCTGCATAGTGGGGAGCAGGTCCCATGCCAAGCATGTTCCAGAAGCTGACAACTGCTGTTTACAGGTCAAAAACCAACTCTTTCAACCAAACGTCAAGCTAACCCTGCAAGGAGCAGCGAGCCATGCTCGGCTCGAGACCCAGACGTGGAAACAGGCATTGCTACACTGAAGACTCCGAAGGACCACTCCTCCACAGCAGACCGGGTACCAACCCCCAAGAAGAAGGACGCCAAGGCACCGAAGAAACGGTCCGGTACAAAGGAAAAAGGGTGTGTTATCAGCAGATACCAGCTGCGCGTGCAGTCGTGCAGCGGGGAAACACGCCTGGAGAATCGTTCTCTCCAGACACAGCTTGAGCTCTTCGTGAAGGCTGCGAGCTACAGAGTCTGAGAAGCCAAGTGTACTGAAATTCCTGTTCTTGCTGCTTTGCCGCTTATGCGGTTGTGTTATCTCAGTGCAGAAACCCCAAGGAAAAAAAATGCTGGCCTGCATGCACTTGCAATACTTACCCGACAACTTTCTCCAACTGTGCTAGGCACCAACAGGGGTGAAAAAAGCCTTTTCCTTCTTTTGTATTCTGGTTTAGACGGGCCACTGGAGTCGAATCGTGCCGTGCCTCCTTTGTGAGGCCTTGTACCATGCTTGTACAGTACAGTGGTTCTTAATTCGGGCCAGGTGATTTTTTGCCTTGTGCGCCTTTTCTCTCCGCTGCCCATACAAGATAGAAGATGCTAACATGCATGCATGGGTGGGGGTAAGTCCCCCATCCTCTACCCTTGCGAACAACAGATTACCCCCAGATAGGAAGCAACAGCAGGCGTGTGCCCTAGGTCCTTTTTTCGCTCCGGAGGGCTTTTGAGACCTGTCCACTCTCGCATGTCTTTACTGAGCCCGCCTGTCGCAAACCCCCAAAACCCTGGTCCCGCGAAGACCTTCAGCTCTGACAGTGAAGTTGTACTTGTACCAAAGCTCGCCGCAAATGCACTGAACCGGGGAACCCGGGAACATCCTCGCAACGAAGGCATTAGTCATATTGTCCTTGCATTTAACTTGCTTCGCATTTCTCTTTTGGCAATATTCGGGGGACCATGCCTTCGTTTGCCTTAGTTGGTGTGCGCGGCGGAAAACCCTCAGCACCCGCAACCGTCGGGAGCGCACACGCGCGGGGTGAAGCGCCACAACCCTCCACCATAGCCTTATAGCGACATAAAGAGCGCAGGCACACTCGGGGGAAGGCGGGAGACACCCAACCTCGAAAGCGGCCACTCAGACTTACCGGCACACACACAGAGGAGGGGCCCCGGGCAAGCAAGCAAGAGTCCAAGCAAAGTTCCCCGTCCCTGCATTTGGCAGACGTTTTTTCTGCCCATTGGTCGACCGGCAAATTTGAACAGCGTTTTCGGTTCAAGTTTAGTTTCTGATATCGAAATAGGTCCGAAACTAAATAATCGTGATGGAATAACGCGTTGTATATGAAAGCTGGACGAATTATACTCGCAAGATTCCGAAAGCCTCTGATGTAACGAAAGTCCAGGGGACATCAACATCGGAACCGGTTGCACCGTTGCCTTTTCAAGCGTCCAGTTTCAAGCCTCCAAAGTTAGTGTGCGTGTCGAAATCGGGCTGATTGAGTCAGCAGGGAACCATGGCACAAGGATTTGCAGGTTTTCATCTGCAAAAAAGCGTTCCATGTGCATGACGCAGTAGTAGCATGATGGAGAGCCAATGGTAAGCGTCCAGTTCGGCAGGTTGGCATGCCAAGCATACTTCCCCATACAAATGAGTGACAAGGGCGCCGGACTTGCATATGGTCCTTCTTCAGTGCGAACGAATTTCCCTGCGATGCGACAGAGTCCTGGCGGGTGGGAGGAAATAGTGTGTATTGTGATACTTTGTAGCCGATACTACTTTCTGAAGCTGTTCAGCCTGCGGATAAACCACACTTGGCAGAGACAGCTTCAAGCACATAAATGAGCCCACGCAGAGCCTTCCACCAGACTCCGCAAGCAAGCTCTGCCCACACGGCTTGCAATTTGTTCTTTTAAAGCGGACTGAAAGTTTGGAATATCCCGGTATGACATAGAAAATTAAATAAATAGGTAGATAGACAGAAAGGTAGAACAGATAGATACCGTAGTTCAGAAAAGCTGACAGCAGGTCGTCGGCACTCCAATTCAGTGGTTCTTCGCCTGCGTCGCTGCTGCACTGCTCGGCAGCACCGGGGCCCGGTCCAGTGTTGGACAGTTTGCCGTTTTGAGGTTCCGGCTGGCACATTTCAAGCTGTTCCTGTGGTATGGAAACAGTCCTTCGGAGCAGTCGTTGAATCTCCCGGGCTTTGGTTTTTGGCTAGAGCGCGCATGGACAAAGTAAGACCATGACCATGACACTGATGTTTGGGTGTGGGTGGCGCAAGAGGTAGGATTCTATTAAACGGTTTTAAGGATCTAGCTGCTGGGGTCGAATTGTATGGGCGGCAAATCTGGATCGCGGTCCAACCTGCCAGTCCTAGTTCACGCGGAAGTGAGATGTTGATGTCGCTCTGTCGCTTTGCACTGCTGGCCATCGCAGCTGCAGAGTTCTACGAGCCCTGCACACCCACACGAGCTCTCCAGGCTTTGCAGGGAGTGCGTTCACTGGATCCTGGGTCAGGCGACTTCAATAGCTTCTGCCAAAATTGCAGCCAGAAGTCCTCGTCTCGGCGCCAGAATGTCATCCCTTGCTGTGGTTGCTTTGCAGGGCTCCTGGCGGTTAAAGGGGACGTCGAGTACGAGCTTACCAAACTCAAAGTGTTGCGCCAAGTCGATGCTAAAAAGCTGCAGAATAGGTCAGTGGCATTACAACTTTACCGTGTGAAGCTCCGCCGTGGTCCCGGTCTCGCCGAAGCTAGGGCAGCTTTACGAAGAAAGTTCATGCAAATCCAACACTCTCTCAGCTACACCGCTGGCATGGCCCTGCGTTTCGCGGATGAGCGAAATCTCGGATTGCAGGGCGATAGGTTTGCTGCTCTCATGAGCGAGTTCTTCGTTTATTTTAAGCTGGAGCATACCGAACCAACATACCGGATGATGGTGCAGAACCACAACACGTGCTTGCTAGATATCTTCGCTGGCAGGTGTGACAAGCGGAATCTACCGATCTTCGAGAAGTTTCCAGCAGCACAGGGACCTTCGCAGGAGGGCTTCATGTTAGACTTTCTTGGAGTGTCAGTACCTATTGAGGCGGATTGTCAAGCAACGCAGTACGCACTGCTGGCACCAGGCAGGACCATGCTGTGCGAGTATTACAAATCAGGCATGCCTTTGCCTCGAGTTTGGCCTGTGCTAGACGAGGAGTATTTGGAATGGGCTGATATCCTCACGACTGCGATGGATGCGGCAAAAGAAGGAAGGCCTTTCCGCATGGCTGAGTTTGGCAGCGGGCCTTACGGAATTTGGGCCATGCGTGCGGCAAAGGCCTTCGCTGCGGTTGCAGCTGACCAGCCCTGTGAGTTGCTACTTGTGGAGCCTTTTGAACTGGGAGATGGCTCCGTCTTGCGAACACACACAGCTATGAACCTGCCTCTTGGGCGGTGTAAATTTCTGGTGCACGAGGATCTTCTGAGTACGAACGACCAGGTCAAAGCTTTGCTGGGATCGGGTGATCTTTGGGATCTGGTCGACATAGATATACAGGGAGCAGAGGGCGAGATACTGCCAGGCTTGTTCACTTGGCTGTCGACTCGAGTTCGGCGCCTGCATGTATCAACACATACGCGCCAGATTCACTGGCAACTCGTCGAGGAGCTAGAAAGGGACGGCTGGCAGATCCAGGCTCAATATCCTACCTTCTCCATGGTGGGCCTGGAAAGCAATGCTTTGGGGGGATTTCTTACCTGCGATGGCCACATTAGTGCACTGCCTCGTTTTTGGCAGTGGACATAGTGACATAGTCATGTCCCGCCTTCTCCGGGACTGCACAGTCGGCATCCGACCGTGGCGCAAGCAAGAGATGCCGTTCTCGTGTGGGCCTCTTCTCATACCGGGAAGGATCTTGCCACATCGCAACTTCTCGCGCATCCGAGTTGGGAGAAGGTGGGCTGTGCACGCAATCGCGAAGGTGAATCGAGGAAAAGGGTCGCACCTCATGCCAGGTACACTCTGCTATAGCTTCCCTCGCTCCCGCAAGCTTCTCGCAAAATTCACTGTGAATTCTTGCAAGGCTCACTGCCGGACCCCACCCTGAGTCTTGGCCCTGCTCTTCAGAGGTCTGGCAGTTGCACGCATGGGAGGCCAACCTAACTGGAAGATCGGCTGCCAGCGGCTCAGGCATTACAGTTCGTGCTTATGGTTTGAAGTATGTTAAACTGAAGCTTACATTTGTAAGGACGTTCGCACACGGGGTCACCGGGATCTCTCGATTTAGATTTGTTGAGTTGGGTTGCAGCCCCCAACATAAGGCATATACTGTAGTGGGCAGCTTGCCGTAGTCGTCGTGTAGGGTAGAATAGCAAGCTTTCGGGTGATCCTCGAGAACCACGGAATCCTTTGTGAATCCGTCACCTCAAAAGGTGACTGGCTTGGTCGGAAAGGTGCATCGCCGGCTGCAGCAGTACGTGAGACACTGCTAGCCCGAAAAGCATCAGCTTGGCCATACCTTCTTTCCGCCTGACGGAGCTTGACTTGAGCTTACGGTCTGCTGAACATCCAGAAACTAAGAATGCCTGCGGCTGAGTTCGATGAAGCCTCCACCCGACATTATAGAGTGTATGCACTGCATGTATTGTGCGGAGTGGTGGTTGTTGCACCATGTTTCTTATCATCTCGCTGTTCGTCGCGCCGAAGATTCGAGATTCGATTCTAGTGCAGTGGAGTAGGGTGGCGGGTGGCGCAGCAATAACCTTCCTGATTTTGTGAGACCCCTTCCACCAACAACACCATACATGCTGCCAAGCACATCCCCAAACCAAGTGATTATGTTTTGCCACCAGCAATCGTTTCAGTGTCAAGCTTGAAGTGGATGTGTTTTCCGTCCCTTGTTGCCCAGGTGTTGCCGCGTGGGTTTTCACCCTGGTGGGCTAGCAGCTGCTGGAGCACAGGCTGGCTTGGCTTTGCGTTTATGAAGGCTCAATGCGTCCAGTATGAGGACGTTGGGCATTTAAAACGGTGTTGGTGTTAGCTATTTATGTGCAAAACCCATGTCCGGAAAACGTGAAATAACCGCCACGTTTCAGAGAATGCAAGGCAAGACATTGCAAAATGTTTGGAAAATTGAATTCCACCAACAGCTTTTACATAAGTACACACTCATGGAGGATGTGCACACTGACGGATCCGATTTTGAGCTGGACGCGACATCAAAGAGCTTTGCATAGATGTGTTGTGCTGCAGTTTTGACATGGACTCTGCATTCACCAATTTCGATGCCCAGTTCCCAACAAAGCATGAGGAGGGCATCGTGAGCAGTGCTCATGCTGTCGCATCAGTGAATAGGGGAGGTGTGTTCTAGCAATGCCCTTTTGGTTCTTTGGGGTTGCCAGAGCCGGCATGCCTCAGCATCCGTTCTGTTCCATGGGTGGCCATCTCGCATGTTGAAGACAGCAACAGACCACAAAAGAAAACTGCAAGACGACAAGGGGGAATCTTGACAAAGGCCGAAGAACGGATTCACAGTGCGAAGGTCGCGTCGAGGTGCAAGCACTGCAGGCCTAAATTCGATAGCCATACATACCCTTAAACTGGTGTCCGAGCGAAATCGAGCCGCGTGGTCAGAAGCAGAACTCATCGCGATATTGCTGGACCTCGAATATGCCTCACAACAGATCCGACATGTTTGGGTTCTTGAAGGCACCAGAGTCATGTTGACGTGGAGCTCCTCACAGTTGGAGTCTCGGCTGTTGTTTGGCTTGAAATCCGGAAGGTACCAGCGAGGACGATGCCTTTGACCGGTGAGGTCATCATGTGGCCGGGCACCGCGGATCCAGTGGCGGCTATCAACATCAAGACTCGTCTGGTCAATTACCACAGCCGTCCAAGAGCTGTAGTTCTCAAGTGTTGATAGTATCTGTAAGAGCTGCAAGAAAATCTTGTTGCAAGAAGTTGCGCAGGTAAATTAGCATGAATGTACATTTCAATGGTGCATTGAACTCATGCGAAGCCACTGGTAGATTGAAAGGAGTCTCCCCAAACCCGCAGGACTCATCTAAAGATTGTGAAAGAAGTGCTGCGATACCGCTGGGAGAGGAGGTGGTTGAGTCTGCAGATGTTTAGGGAGTGTCCAGGTCGATCCTTGCAGCAGATGTGCCCAGTCACAAAGACAACCGGGGAGGACCACAATGCGAAGTGCAAGTCGAAGTTCAGCCTATAAATCCTGAATCCTATAGCCGAGCGCCGTGACGCTTTGCAAGACATGCTTCCCAAGAGCCGAAACCAAGGCTTTGCTGAAAAGCCCAACCCAGTGCTCAGTCCCCGCATCGCACGACCTTTGTTAGAGGTCCCCTTTTAAGAGATGAGGTTGAAGTCCGGCCGCACATGTCCAAGGGCGGCATGTGAGGCACGGTGACGAGGCTCCTCCCTTGCTCAAGAAGCTGCTCAGGGTATCAGGAGGTGTTACCTTTAGTTAGGGCAGTTATTGAACTCGAGGTCATAATGTCCTATGTGGCTCAGAAGCACGTTGGACACTGCAGGGTATGGAGACAGCGAGCATTGCAGTCTGAATTCTTGGCATTCATGGCATGTTTGGAACTCACAAGCAGTCCTGGATTCAGGGCTGTGTCCCACTCCAGCACCATCAAGCAAGCGGTGCAGAACTGGGGATGAAAGCATCAAGCCGATTTCACAAGCAGTGCTGTACTAGCGCATGCTCCAACACCTTGAGCAGCAAAAGCAGAGGAGCCATTGACGTTTGCTCGATTTCCTGTGCACTTCTTCATGTCGCCTGGCTGGAAGGAAGCATAACATCAGTCCCACGAATTTTCAGTATGGGTGCAGACGCATGCAACATGAGCTGCCGCAGCTCCGTCCTTACACTGCGTCTGCGTCTGCTCGGAACCCATAGATGTCTTTTGAATTCTGTCAGCTGTGGCTGCCGAAAGATGGTATCCACGCTTGAGACGAGAACTGCGCCGTAGTGTGCATTTTCATGGTGAGGAATTGCGACTGCGGCTTTGGGTTAGGGTGATAAATCAGAAGTCTGCCCGGCCACCGCCAAGATTTCTCTTGGACCCCATTGATTCTGCTGAAGTACAATTCCTCACCGTTTTCCTGTGCAGTCGCTGGGCCTGGCCTTACGCGACTAGGGGAGGAGGCTGGATGCGCCAAAGAGACGAAATGAGCAAGAGGAAGGAGCGGGGCTAGGGCTTGACGCTTTGGCCGACTCTCCTTGGGCCTTGCAGGCACTCAGAGGCACTGGGCCAAGCGCCGCTCACCTCGAGCGGGCAGAGTGTGCTTCGCTCAAAGGGTGCCTCCTCAAGCGAAGGGCATCATTGCAGATTGTAGACGATTTGCAGACAATCGTAGACTCCGTAAGCTCTAATCGCAAAGCCTCCGTCATTGCATGGCAAAACTGAAGCTGACTTGCTGCAGCATGTGCCAACACGGAAGCAACTTCCCAAAAGAGTCAGCACTCGATACGTAGTTCGTGCAGAGGAGGCCAAGCGCTTTTCGGCGTCGACGCAACACTGCCTATCATTCGGTCATTAGGTTTCAGGGACTGCTTAAAAGCAGGAAGATGTAGCCAAGGTGGTGCGGATACGGCAATGTTGGAGCATGTTCAGAGGTTTTAAGTACATTGACAGGCAAAAGGGTAAGCAGAGTCAATCTCGATTGGGAACAGAACATGCACCGGAGGTCCCGATGAGCATGTGTTGCCTGATTAATTAGGGCAGACCATGCCGGTGGTTTGCGAGCCAGGCTACCGAACTTTGAACATTCACAGCATGTCTCGCAGTTTCTTCTTGTGTGCCGTGGAAATTTGCGCATGCTACCTACAGAAGAAGATCTGCGAGCGGGCACAGGCCTCAAGGAGCTCGTGTCCACTTAGTGGGGATGGCGTGGAGCTTTTCAACACAAGTTTCGGATCGGTTCACCACTCAATACCATCCCCATCCGGATGTGTACAGCGATTGCCCAGGGCCGCGAAAAGGCATAAGAAACGGGACAAGCGGATGTCGAGCCCAAACTGAGCAAACTAGTGCATTCATTCTGTGAGCAGAAACCGAGATGGCAATCACCGCCACCGCCCCAGTCCAAACAGGTTTGAACGCTGGGATGTTTTCCTGCTCAATCTTGCATGCAGGTTCTTTGACACCTCTATGATCTGCAATGACTGCAAACGGCTGCAGTTTGCTAGGATTCGCGCGGATTTTTGCGAGCCTCGCTAGGCCCCCAGCTGCCTAACAACATGACAGCCGTCATTATGTGTCCAGGACTGCCTAAGTCAGAAGAACTGCAAACAGGTCTTGTGGAAGGTGCTAAAGCTCACACGATGTTTAATTGCTCGACTTCAAATATTCGAACCAGCCCAAGGTTCAGAGCTACAAGATTGGATTGGATTCCCGCTTTGTGATTGCACCCATGCAAGACCAGAGAGGTCCCCCTGCTTATGGATAGCCATGCGTTCTGTCTAACCTTCGCCACGTATACAGTATACGGTATACAGCACAGTTTTCACACGTGCAGCTTTGTAGCGGCAGTGTTCTGGCTGGCTGAAAGCTTCAACGGTGCCGCTGCAGCTGTGCATCAAATGTCGAGACTTGGCATAGCCATAACTGAGCTTTCCATGAGCAAGCAACCTCTTGTGTTTTGTTGGTTCCTGGGGGGTGATGCACTGATACAACTCATTCAGCACATTTCAGCACCATGCAGCGGCTTCAGCTGGACGAGCTTCCTTGAGGGGAAGGCTTCGATACGCCCCACGGCCGACAGTGCCATAACACTGGATGCCATGTTAGCCAACCCTTCCTTGAGCTGCTAGGTCTGACATTCGCACCTGTGACGGGCCATCGGGCTGAAGCATTGAGCCAAAGGCTTGCGAGAATCACACGGCTCTCAGGCTTTGTGTGTTTGCTTGTTTCTTGGTTTGTCCGTCTGTCTGTTGCTGTGATGCATCAATGCAATCAACTCTATGTTGGACTATTCTCTAGCTCCCTTGATCGTCAGAATCTCCCAGCTTATCAAGCAGTCCGATACAGTCCTGTACCACTCAAGTGTTCTTGAGTTCATAGGCCCCGCTCTCATTTGCTCTGGCTTTCGGCTTTTTCGATCCGCCATCCTGGGCTGTCCATGTTAATGTGCATCGTAAATTCTTTTCAAGCAAAAGCTGATGGTGTTGTTAGCAACCAGATCAGCGTTTGACATACCTGGAATGCGTAGTCTCCTTCGCTTCAACGCTGGGTCTGGATGAACCCTGTATCTCATAGTCGTAACTGAGCCGCCTGACAGCGTTAAAATACAGGATATCCCGAACGTTCGTTGCAAGAAGTTGGTCGATAATTCGCCGATGGATTGGGAACAGCTCCGAAGCAGGCCAGTCATGGCAAGAGGGTCCTTCCGGCAGGCCTACAAGCTCAAGACGGCCTGGATGCTGATGGAACACTTCGAACACCTTCGTGCAGAGTCGTACAGATACACTGTGCGGCTACGTACAGATTGGCACCCTACGATTTCGATAGCTGATTTATTGCAATCTTCCCAGATTGTGCCAGGTAGCATCTATCAACCTTCCGATGTGTTTGCCTATGGTCTCCGGCACGGTATGCAGCAGTGGGTCCTGTACCGTTTCAGGCTCATGGAAAACAACTTGTCAAATGCTTTGGTCGAAGGCGTGAAGCATTACAGGCCCTTGAATTGGAGCCTTGTCGCATTGAGTGAAGTCGGATGTGGTCCATTCTCCTGGCTCATGCTCCCACGAGAGGTCATTGGTGACATATCCCAACTTGGTCCATATTGGCCGGCAGAGTATCCCACTGTGGTCCTTGACGCGGTCAGATTCCACGCGAGCCACCTTCTGCAATTTGATGCGAAATTGATGGCAAAGCTATCTGACATCCATGATTCTCGGGCATCCATCTCTCCATATCGCGACGTCCCCGCGGTGAGCGTCAAGTGCTGCACTTCGGATGACTTTGAAATCGAGCTGGCCCCTTTTGCACAACTTGTATGACCAAGGGCTTATATGCCGTTCTCCACGCATCCCTGCTGAACAATGGAGGTCTTACAAGCGCTACATGGTACCTAGCTATTGAAGGCGGTGTTGTGCGTGGTAGCCAACTGACACAAAGTGGGCCGCGTGTTGGAGGCTTTGCAATAAATGATGTGCACTCCTCACTCCTCCTCCTCCTCCTCCTCCGCTGCTGCTGCTCCTTCCAGTGCTGCTCGTGCTCTAGTCGAAGTAGAAGTACTAGTTTGTACAGCGAATCAAGGATGAAATCTGAGAGTCGCAGCAACAGCAGCTGAAAAAAGGAGAATGATAGAGCTCCTACCAGCGATACTTGATTGAAATCGAGAATATCTACCTGTCCCAAACATGAACGAACGAGATGGGGGCCATTAGCCCACGCCGCAAACAAACGCCACGGCTGCGAAGGCTTTCAGGGCTAGCACTGGCAGGACTTCCTTGGGAAACGCTTCTTTTGAGTGGACTGTTTGGTTTCATGAGAAGCTGTCTATGATATGCAGGCGGATATGTAGGTTGCCAAGCAATTAGAAGTTTGGGAAGGTGTCAGCAGGCCTGAATCCACCCAGACCTTGCCTGGTTGGTCCGAGTGCGAGTGTCACAGAACTTCTCAAATTTCTAGAGGCCCTTGACCTCCCGAAATCCGAGAACTTTCTGTTGCAAGGGCGTTCTATTTTTTCAGGACACTGCAGGGTATACAAGGCACCAAGCGGATTTGCACGGGGGCTACCGTAACCTAAACGCCCTTGTTCGAGGGCGTCTACATCATGAGACACCTACCCTACCATTGGAGTCAATAATAGGTCCCCTCTCGAACAGGAACTTCTTGAGAATCACTTGCTTGTCAGGCTTTCTGAACGCAGAAAAAACACTGGCAGGCTCTGCTTTCAGTCTGGCATACCGGGTATAAAGGGTATAGCATCACAATGCTGTTCTGTGAGTTTGAGCGGCTTGCAGCTTCAGGCCCCGGGGAGATTTACAGAAGTGGCAACTCGGTGAGTCTTAAGTAACCCACACCTGATCTCGAGACATGTGCCAGCATCCTGCTTTTCTTGTTTGCGTCCCGACATGTGTATCTTGTGCCTCAATCTCTACCGACCGAACACCGTGAGACCTCATCTGGCTTGTCCGAGTTGTGAAAGCATAAGCCTAAACCCCTACACCCCTACCCTGCGCAAAACCCCAAAACCTGAAAGCCACTTAACCCCGCCAAAGCACTCAGCAAAACAATCCTTCGGGACAGCTCAGGATGGAGAGCGAAGTCGCTATGTCGCTAAGTGCAACAAGCTGGCGGCTAAATGCAAGGCAGCTCGGGCGTCTTCGGGGATTCTGTGGCCATGGGCTAAAGGTGTCTTTTCATGTTGCAGAAGTGTAGATTCGGCTTTGAGCCCCCAGGAGTCCTTGGGCCCGGGCAGTAGCAGGCAGCTTCATGCTTCACATTTGGCCCAAGCAGTCCGGCTTGTTGCAGCGCATGCTGTGCAGAGGCGCCAAGATGCCGTGGGACGATCGTAAAGTATTTTCCCGTGCTGTCTTCTTCATTTACCTGGGGGCAACACTGCCTGGTGGACTTGAGGGCCGCAGCGGCTTTTCTTTGTCTGGACTGCCCTGGGGTCACTGGGAGGGTCAATGGAGGTCCAAGCATCTCTGCTGGGGGCGCTCATCCCCACCTACTGATGAGCTTGGGAAGGTGTTCCAGTTTCCCGCTGAGGACGTCACCTGCGAGTTCCACAACCTGTGCTACAACCCGGCAACAGAGCATTTCGTGTATTCCAAGGGCTCCGACGAGCTGCGTCGACCCCTTCCCCCTGTCAGCATCTGGAGCGGTCCACCAGAGCCTATCTTCGGCGGCTACGATGCACCGCGCAAGATCTTGCCTGTGCATGTGCAGGAGCCGTTGGCCCCGCAAAGCGTGCTGAGCGCGCCGACATACGTGATCTTGCATGGTGCCAGCTCAAATCTTGCCCACATGATCCACGACATGATGCTGCCACTGGTCATCCTGCTGTCCCAAGCCGAGGGCAGCCGGAAGGGCAGTGAAAGCGGCCGCCGCGTGATCTTCTTTTTGGATGATTGCAATCCATTGAGCATTTACAACAGCCCGCCGGCCATGCCCAAGCTGAGGAGTAACACGAAAAGAGCAAGCTGTGAGCGGTTCAGCGACATGCTTGTGCCCATCATCTCCGATTGGCCATGGCTCGATGTGGAGCGCCTGCACGCGGTATACGAGGCCGAGGCCGGCAACAGCAAGGAGATCTGTTTCTCGCGACTCATTGCAGGCTCCGGTCGCTACGATCTCTTCTCGGGCTACAGCGAAGACAGGCTGAGTGGTCTCTACCTGAACACGATTGCCAGCGGTCTGTTGGGCACCCACATGCGGCTCTTGCGCGACTGGGCCTACGAGCGGATTCTGGAGCACCCTGGCCAATCGCCCCCTGGCACGCCTGGCACGCTAGCACTGGTACCCAAACCTTTGGGAGCCGAGATCTCGCGAACAGGGAAGAGGTTGCGACATGGTTGGCTGACTGGGCCGAGGCCCATCACCTGCAGTATGTGGAGCTGCGTCTTTTTGCCATGGATCTTCCGCAGCAGTTGGCGGCACTGCGCCAGGTACGCATTCTGGTCACTCATGCAGGGTCTACGCACGCAGCTAGCAGCACCTTCTTGCCTGACTGGGCCAGCGTTATTGTCATACCGCAGTGCGGTGGCTGCAAACCGCCTGATGACATCCGGGAGGAGTGTAGCGGAGACAGCGTATATGAGGCCTTGCTCAGCCGATGAGATGACCTTTGATTTCGTTTTGCCCACGGCCTTTGCTGAGGATCTTCTGGTATCCCGCCACTCTGCAAGACACCGAAGAGCGAGTCGGACACCTGGACGTCAGGATCAACCACGGCCTGTTGGTCGAAGTCTTGGAGGAGGCCTACTAACAAAATGTCTAACAAAGTCTGCGTAGACTCGGGGCTTAGCGCTTGGAGTAGGCTTGGCGTGGTCATGCGGTAGGCTAGCTGCGGCTAGCTGCTAGCTGTCTTTCCGAGATAGGCCAGCCAGCACATGGACTTCCAGAGCATGCCAGAGCCCGAGATCGCAGAGCTGCCTAAGCTGCGGATCTTCTCCTACTCGTGGCCTGAGATGCTGCATTTGCCACTGCTGCTCCGCTGCGCCGAGCAGAGGCAGAGGCAGAGCATGGCGAGCCAGCGACGGACCTGTGCAACGAAGATCAGTGAGACTTACTGCGGACTTCTTCATCGACGCCCTGCCTACACGGAGACTACGACGGAAGATCCTTTGCCGTCTTTGGGCAGCTGCAACTGCATGAATGCCGCTCTTGAGGCTGGGGTTAGTGGAGTGTCCTGGAACTGGCAGCAGCTCTCCAACGTAGCTTTCCTAAAGCTGCAGCTTGCCAGGCACGAGCTCCTCTTTTGGTCAGGCCTAACCATGGATACCATGACAAACATCCTGTTTGGCATGCCGCACTCTGTCATGGGCTTCTTCGGACACCCTTCCTTGCTAGAGCTTCTTCGGCGACGAGCGTTTTATGAGGACACTCAAGGCTTGGAGTGTTCTGACCGAGATGACTGCAGGGCGAAACGTGTCTTAACACTTATTGAGTGGCTGATGCTGGCACGAAATGTGTTCTGTCAACACGGAGCCCTCTCAACTTGGGAGCTAGCGTCAAACGAGCAAAGTATCGACCTGATAGATTTCCGCCGTCACACCCTACTTGTGGATACCATGTTTGTGGAGCTTCTCAGCGATGCACAAGACTCAACATGGGGACCAAGCATCGAGCTGCTGTTGAACGTTCTGCAGGAGGAGCTGGCAGTGGATTTTGGCTTGAAGTTCCGGGAGACAAGCCCGTGGTGCAGCACCAACATCAGCGCAGAAAGTGCCAATCGGGAACCGGCACGGCTTTTCACAGACCTGGACTTCTCATGGTTCTCCAAGCTGTGCGCCTTATCTTTGGAGCCGCAGCAAACTTCCGAAGCAACGGAAGCTGTAGACTTAGAACCCCCAGAGCCGCACATAGCTGAAGAGCCTTCGACCTGCCATGCCAGTGATACCAGTGAAGGCTCACCCCTCAGGATGGGTGATCTTCTGTTCCATGTGTTGGGCCATGCCGTGGTGAGCCCACAGCATCGGCTCACCGATAGTGCAATGGAAGTCGAGGTGCTGCTGTTTGTTTACAGTCTGGATGGCTGCATCCCAGTCGTGAGAGAGAAGATCGGCCATGTACTCTCCCAGCCAGCGGTGCCGCTCTTCCCTTGGCGCTGCAGTTTCGACGGCTGGAGTGGCCAAGCTGTTCCAGTCTCCATGATGGGCTTCACTCGGACGATCGTGCGCCCGGTCCCGGCGTGGATTCGTCAGCCTTCGCTCCTGCGCCTCTTCGCAGAACCTCAGGACATTCAGCTACCAATCTCCCTTTGTCAGAAGCAGAGCCAGCCAAAGGAGCGCCTGCGATTGGCCATCTGCCTGCGGATCCATTATGACATCAGAGGGCTGGAGTCTGGCTTACCATATCTGGTCCGAGATTGGATGAATTTTCATCTACTTTCAGGGGTGGATAAATTCGTGATCTACGATGAGGATGGATCCTTTAGTGAAGTCGAGGCTGACTTGTCAAGGCATCCTCGGGTAAGCTACTTCCCGCATTGGCCAGAGACTTCTCTGCCACTTCTTTCGAGCCGTTTGCAGTTGGGGAAGCAAGAAGTCGGAAAAGACAGCCTGGCCGCACAGGCCAACTCTCACTGCGTTATGATGTTGAAGGGACAAGTGGACTGGATCGCCATGCTGCCCGGCTTTGATACCTTTCTCTGGACTTCGCAAAGCTCAAGCCAGACCGGTGCCTTGAAGGCCGTGCTTGCAACCGTGGAGCCTCACCGCCCAAAGCTGGCTGCCCTTCAGCTCATGGAGGTGCAGTACACTCAGGGCAATTATAAACAGGGTTCCACACTCTTGTCTCAACGGATGCGAGGGCCCTCCATCACGAACCAATCGCACACGCTGCTGCTGAACCCAGAGACGAGATCATTGTTTGGTAGAATTCTTGTAGGGCAGCTGTCACTATTCAGCCCTGTCAGCAAAATCACGAGCCATCTTGTTCAATTGTCTCTGACTGTTACCCCAGACAATGTGCTGGAAGTTGGGATGGGCCACTTCGCTCTGCCACGCCATGATGCACACCTTGTGGTAGTCGAAGAAAGTCGGCTGCGAGTGAACCACTACATTGCTCCTTGGATCCCTGGATTTCTGATCTTCGTGTTGGACTTCTGGAGGGTGGTAGCACGCCCTTCCCCGCCACCCCACCATGTCCATGTATGTACCCTTATAGCATGCTTTTGGTGTTGAATCCCGATGCCCGACAATCTTTCCCGGAATGGGGGTCACCTGTGTCTATTTTTGGGTGTCACTTGTGTCTTTTTTTGGGGGTCGCTTATGTCTTTTTATTGCCCGGAAGCAACAGTCTCGAACGAGAGGCCCCTTGGTGGGACCTCTTAGTGAGAGAAAGTCCAAAGCGAAAAATATGGTATACCGACCCCGATACCCCAAAAAGAAGTGAAAGGTAAGCTTGAAAGAAACCGAGACCCTGAAGACGATCAAACCCAGACCGAAGCCATAAAAGGAATAAGAACAGCTCCAGGAGTAAACCCAGACCGAAACCCTAAAAGTATGCCCATGCCGAAGCCGTAAGCAAGACTGAACCGTGACCGAAACCCTAAAAAAACGACGTCCCAATTCCGAAACGGAATTAACGGATCCCGAAACCCTGAAAAGGAATAGACCCAGGCCGAAGCCCTAAAAGGAGTAAGCCCGGACCGACACCCGAATCAAAAACTGGAATAAAAGGAGTCCTGTGGAAAGTAGGCCAGATGCTCCGTGATGATCAGCTAATGCTCATGATGGTCGAAGCACTCATCTACGAAGTATGGCTGTAATTCAAGTTGCAAATCTTCTCAGTGTGCGCATGGCCCCTGCTCAGGATGACACGCACTACTGAGGTGTCTGGCATGGCATGGCCCCTGCTAAGGATGACACGCTTTTCGAGACGCACTTGAAGGTGCGATAATCGTTGTGAACTGGCTCAAGTGAGCATCCAGGCGAGAACCAGGAGTTTGAAAAGATCAGCCCTCTCTGCCAGTTCGGCAGAGCAGGGCATGTTTAGGGTCAGGGTTCTCTTCGGTGCTTGTTCGTGGAGGCGGGGTAGTTTTCAAGGTGCCAAGTCACGAAGGCGAGAGGTTTGGGGATCAGGCGAAGTTTGTAAGTAATGAGCTCCCCTGCCCCAACCCACTTTAGCATGGTGACGGACTCACCATCACCAGATCAGCTTCAGGTTATGAGCCCAAACGTTATCCAAGCAACGCCGCAGCAGCATCAGACGACGGAAGACTTTGGCATCTTGCTCCGCCAGCTGACTAGTATCGCTGTGTCGCCGGAGGCTTTGCGCGATTTAACAAGAGCTCAGGAGTTGCAACAGATGGTACAGGCAATGCTTCAGAAACATTCAGTGCATGAGAGCCTTTTTGTTGCTACCGATGAGCAGATTCGCATATTGCACCAGCGACATGATAGCTTGATGCGTATGTTACAGCAGTTTGAACATCAGCAAGATGGTCGATGGAAAAGGTACGCATCGAATGATGAGCTTCAGCAGGCATCTCTTCGTGAAACCGCATCGCAGGCGCAGGACATTGTGGACCAAGTTCAGAGAATGATGAGAGAGCTGGAGTCAGCAAAGACTACTCTTGCGTTGTTGCAGGAAGCCGTAGGGGCCTTGCAAGCGGATGTAACGGCATGTGATGCTAAGTTGGAGGGAATCAGAAATCGTGATACAGCGACTCCTTTGTCTGCAGACCACAAGCACGAGCAAGACGCATCAGCAGAGAGTGACCCTGGACATCATCATCACGATACGGGTTCGCTTAAAAGGAGCAGGGAGGTTCTTGTGTCGCAAATGTTGAATGAGTGTCGCCAGCGGGAGGCCTTAGACTTCAAGTTGACTCAGGAAGTGTCAGCCAGACGTGGCCTTGAGAGAAGACTGGAAGCATTAGAAGGCCGATTGCAGGCAACATCATTCGTTGAAGACGACCTCAAATCTTTCAGATGTCTCCTGATCCGAGCGGTCAGGTTGTGGAACATGATGGGTACGAAGATCCCTGGTGGGCCCTAGGTAACGGTCCCCTGGACTAGGGGTACAACCACCTCCGATACCGGAGAATCTTCGTGAACCAAGTGAGCAGAGCCGGCAAGATCATGAACCATCTCATTCATGGGACGTACCAGGCCACGGTGCACCAATCGGCCAAGTACAATCTGTGTCAGTGGGGTGTGAAGCTGTACCAGCTACAGAAGTGAAGGAGGTTGAGGCAGCTTTGGACGCTTGTATCACGCCTAGACCGGGCAGTGAGCGAGCTATGTCAGGGGATGCATCATCATCGAAGGGTGGCGTCCAGAGGGACGGTGGAAGCTTCTTAAGGACGTGCCAGCATTGCAGATAGCAAAGGGCACGACCCCTTGGGAGGCTGGGATGATTTTTCATTCTTGGAGGGCGCAGATGCGGACGATATGCCGTGGGGTGTCGCAGGATATTGGCACGTTTGCGGATGGATGTTGGGAGAGGGCACAGGTCCTTTACGATGAGCAGCTGGCATCACGGGTGAAGGCAAAGGCACCAAGTGTTAAGAGTTGTGATATCGAATGGGATGGACGCTTGACCAACATGCTTCTACGCACAATTCCAGAGGAGCTGAAGCAGCCTGTCACTGAGGAAGCTGGTGGCTATAGCATCACTGCTGTAGCGCTGTGTTTGGCAGTCTTGACTAGGCTGCAGCCCGGAGGATCTGAAGAGATAACGAGCCTTCAGAAGTTCTTGAGGTACCCCACTATCGCAAACAACTTTCAGGAGATGGCTAAGGTTCTGAGACGGTATCAGTTGACCCTAGGGCGATCACGACAGTTGAAGCTTCCAGAACTTGCACCACCTGAGGGTCTTCGGGCCGCATTGGCCATTGCCAGGAACATGGAGCGACGAAATGGGTCGTTGCAAATGCGCCTCAGTATTCTGCGTTTAGACCCTGCTACTTCTACACGTCCCACCGCCAGAGGAGTAAGTCAGGTGTTGGAGATGTTAGAGAGGGAGTGCATGGATCTTGCAGCCGACGAGCAAATGAAAGGTAGCAGTGCAGTTGATTCCATGGTTGCAACAGCTACAGCTGACACAACCAAACGGAGGAAGTGCTGGTTCTTTAACACAGCTGAGGGATGTAAGAACGGAAAAGATTGCGAGTATGCGCATGAGAAAGGAGGTAAGGGTAAGGATGAGCCGAAGGGTTCAGGAAAGGGAAAGGATAAAGGAAAAGAGAAGGGAGGGAAAGGCAAGGTCAATCAGGCCGAGTCGACTTTGTCACCTGCCCCGAAGTCCAATCCCAATCCGAAGGGCACACCAAAGGCAGAGGCGAAAGCTGAAACCAAGGCTAAGGCTAAGAGTAAGGCCGCTGCTACAAGCTTTTGGGTGTGGATGAGAACAAGCCTTCAGCGAACATGACTCGTACCAATTATCATTGCGACGCATGGCGACCGACTGTGGCCAAGGTGACATCAGGACTCCATTCCGTTTGCCTAACAGGGTCCCGGACAGTAGCCAAAATGACATCAGGTGGTAGTGGTGATCAGGGTGTGGCCCCCAGAGTGGGTTCTTGTGGATTCTGGGGCGAATGAGGTTTGCAGACCTCTGGATCCGGGTATGAACTTCGGTGATCGCAACAAGTATCTCCCATTGGATGTCACGCTCGCATCTGGAAAGGTCACGACAGGCTTCCGCTCGGCTAAGGATGGCGAAATCTTTATGCCGATGGAGGGTCATGATTGGATCGCAGGGCTCTCCAAACTTGTTGGCGCTGAGTTCAAGTTCGTGTGGGATCGAAGTGGTCCCAAGCTGATTTCTGAAGACACTGGGATTGTCATCGATGCGGTTCTACGTAATGGGCTTCCGTATGTGAAGTGGAGCGATTTTAAAAGGGCTAGATCCAAGGTATCTCGTATCTACAAGAAGGCGCCTCACTTCATGTGTGATCTGTCTTTCAATGCCCACGTTCAGGAGGAGCCACCTACCATCTTGAAGGCTGGAGAACACATGGCTTTTGAGATTGAGGGAAGCGTAGAATCAACAGTCGCAGCACCAGCAGAGTTGGATCGGAAGCAGCTTCAGGAGGAGCGAGCGAAGCAAATGGCAGCAAAGAGCGATATCACAGCAAAAGACATTCTCGGCATTCTGGAGGGAACTGATTTGCGCAGACGCAATCGGCGTAGGAGTTCAGAGGGATCTGGGGATGAGAAGGTGTCAGTGTGGACGTTTGGCAAGTATCAGCATGGACCACATGGAGGGATCACAGATCTGACATGTCAGAGGCCAGAGTTGACACGATTGCTCACCCAGTTCGTGAGGCAACAGCATCCAGAACATCGTTTCACGACCATTACAGTTACGGAGGATGTTGCCTTTAGGCCCCGCCGTGATAAATTCAATGCTAAGGGTTCTGTCAATCTTGCCATTGGTCTGACCAAGCATGCTGGGGGTGAGATTTGGGTTCATGATGCTTCGCTCAAAGATGATCCTAAAGCACTGCGGCGCGTAGCTTTTCCTGGTAAGCCATCGGCTCCCGGGAGCTTGTTGAGGACTAGTGGAACGAGTTGCACTTTCAATCCCCATGACTTGCATGGCACCGAGCCTTTCACAGGACACCGGGTCATGCTCTTGGCTTACACACCTCGTATCCCAGATGAGGCGACTCCTGATGTGATTTCACGTCTGCAATCTCTGGGCTTCACACACTGGGGCACCGAAGTGAAGCAGCGATGTGGAGAGGATGAGGCGATGAATCCGCAAGCATCCGCAGTTGAGGCAAGCATCGGCAGCGAGGCAAACATCACTGAAAGCACGGACATCCCCAGCCAAGCCCCCAGGGTCAGGTTAAGGGATGAGTCGTTGAGGAGCGTGGAAGTAAAGCCCATCATTGTTGAGCCAGGATTGGATAAGGTTCCATTACCCGAGGTTAAGAGAGATTCCAAGGAGGTGATTGAGATTGATGACGATGATGGGATTGAGCCGAGGGATGAGGATAAGTTGAACGAGCTCTTGGGGAACATAGGTTCAGGGCTTGATGAAAAAGTTCCAATGGAAGCGCCCGCGGCACCCTCGGCGCCTGCAGATTCAAAGCCTGCCTCATCGCCAA